GCATTTAATTGCATTACAATAATTTTTTTTCTGAGTTATTTGTAAAAAAGAAATGTCGTAAACATCACCAAAAGTTCACCAAAAAAATGTTTTAGAAAAAAAAAGTACGCCTACACTGGCGGTTGATATGCAGAGAGTTTGGTCTTTTGTTGGGAAGTGTAGGAGACATATGTGGAGGCGCCACTGGCTGAAAGCGGGCTGCGCATGTTACAGGGCGTCTTTGGAAATTTGAATGTGGCCAACCAGAAGCCGGAAATAATACTCTGGCGGTGGCCGCGCCAAGTGCATCGGAGTAACTCTTGATGACTGAAAATATGGTGCACGTGATGCTTCAATCACGGTCATCCAAAATCATGGTGGAAGAGTGCGACTAGCGAAACGATTGACATAATCCGCGTACGCCAAGCGCTGAGAATCTGCCGCCCGAGCGGTCACACTCTTACCGAGCTAAACAGAGTTGAGCAACGCATTCGTTTCTTATACCCAGGTAGCACACTTGCTTGGTTTAGCTGGGGCCAGGGTTGGCACTTAGTTGTGATAGGTTGACCACGACTGCCCAGTCATTTACGTCTGTATGCCAGCCTGGCGTTTCACAGTCTTGCCTTGCTCCAGAAAGCCACGGAACGGCCAGGGAACGCCTTCCCTGGTTGACCAATCAATTTCCTTGGTCATTGATGGCCAGTGTAAACAGGCCGCTACCAGTTTTTGATGTACCCTGGCTGTCTGTTGATTTTCCTCGGTCAGAGATGGCCAGGGTAGCAGTGCCTCTGCCAAGCTTTGGGGTTTCATGGTAGTTCGCAGAAATTCCCTGGTCCGCTCAACACAAGCAACAGCCAATATTCGGGCATGTTGCCGGATCGAAGATAGGGTGAGCCAAGGAATGTCAGGGAATTGCCGCTATGCAATAATCCGTGGCTCAAGCTCGTATTTTATTGAACCCAGAATGCCCGCTGAAAGCCACTGCTACTCTATAGTTCGTTGAACTTTTTCCATTTTTTTTTTTACTTCGTATGAGCGTTCTCTTAACATATTTTTGGTGCTTTGTGGCAAGAGTCTTCGCACTAGAAAGTGACGTTTGAGTGCAAGAAGTCTGTTTTAGCTTGAGACATAAAAAAAGAACACGTTTTCCCCATTGAAAAAAAAAAAGAAACTATTTGAAAACAGTTTGGATATGAACAGGCCAAACCCGAAATGAACTGGTTGTAGTGGAAATGTACCGGACAAATTGGAAATAAAACTATCGAAATTGGTCGCACTCGAACTTTATAATTTTCCCGCTTTTTACCGCGGCCTTTATCTACCCTGGCTTGCACGGAGAAACCGCTTCAAGCGCAAGTGCCCGAGGCACTTGCGCTTGGAAAAGCGCGGGAAAGATCCCGCACTCTCCAGATGAATCACGCGCCTGAAATGCGCCAGTGCCCCGTGAGCAGGGATGATGCAGTCTCCCCGCGCGCAGCGCGGATGCCTTGAAAGAGGACAGCTGCTCACGTGCAAGGACAGGGAGCGCGCGGGCCAATCAGCGCGGCCCTCGCGTACGCTCGAAGCGCCAGTTTTGAGACGGTGGCCGGCGCAGTTCCGAAACCCCCCCCCCCCAAAAAAAGGAAAGAAAACCGGATCTGGCGTTAGTGGCGCGAACTAGTCTTTGTTCGCGCTGCTGTTCTGCTTGGGGAGGTTACAAGTTGCTGTGTTTGAATAAGATAGTTTGCCGGTGCCTTGAGTGCTGCCTCTGCCGTTGGTTCCTGTGGCTGATGACGTCCTCCGCCTGAGTTCCACTCGCTCATGGGCGAAATGGCTGCATCCCAGACCGGCGTGTTCGGAATTCGCTCCGTCCTCATTGCAGCGCGAGCACTGGCTGTCTCTGTCTCGGCGCCAGCGAACCAGGTAAGCAGGCTCGACCATTTGGATTCATTTTCATAATCAGGTCATGTGAAACCAAACCTTTTCGCAACCCCATTTGGAACAGCCATGCTAGTAATACAACCGCCAGTGTGTACATTCAGCCTCAGAGATCCTCTACCGCAGTGGTTAACCACTGTGGTAGAGAATCCTGCTGTTGTTGCCCCTTCCTGCCTTCCTAGTCTGTCGTCCGCTATGCAACGAAAAGGCTGAACCGCATGTAAGCGATTAAGCGAGCGACGAGAGTCAGTGACGAGCGGCGGAGATTTCCCACGGTCGCTTGTCGCATCGCTCGGTTTTTGGATTTCTAGAAATCGTCGCTCATCGCCTTGGTCGCTTGCTCCCGTCGCTTTCATGCGGTTTGCCGCGTCGCGCGAGTGACCGAACGACAGTGAAGCGGATCGTCGTCGCTTGTCTCGTGGCTTGTCAAATCTCTTACATGCGGTTTCTACGTAATTGCCGCGAGACTGGCACCACATGCACGATTGGCACACGCTTCCATATTCACTCTCATACTGTTTATGATAGTGCATATTTTTTATTAGTGGCATTAGTTACATACCGCTTTAGAACAGACGGGTGCAAATAAATCTGCCATGGTCTAATTACTGATGTTTATTCTTTTTTCCAGATGCCTTGCGGTACTATGTTAGCCACCACCGGAACCCCGACACTCCAGAAGATGTGGAAATTCTCGCCAACCGCCTGGGACACATGAATAATATCATGCCAATTTTTTCGCATTGTGCATATGTTTTTATGTTTATTTTTGCAGCCTGCAGTATGTATTTTTTTGTAGAAATAAATTGAATTATATTAATTTACGACGTGTGTTGTCAATATCACGAGTTAAACTGGTTTAACTGCATGGTGAATTTCTATTGTCTAGCCAAGCTTGGCTGACCACCCGGTCACTAACCTGGCCCATGCTGTATATACAATAAAGAGCCAAACTTGGGGCACCACTGAGCTTCCCGCCTGGCCCAGGCCATAATTCCAGTGGCGGGCCAGTCCATGGCTACACAGGGAACTGCCGGTGGTCGCCAGACTGGCATACCAGGATGGGGCGCCTAGAGCCATGGTGCAAAACAATATAGGCCCACTGAAACTTCCTTGGCTACCCAGTCTGGCTCAAGCTTGAGCCGGTCGTAATGTGCTGCTTGGGTATCTTTCTGCATGATCATGATCGAAAGATCACGTTCATCATATTTTCAGTCATGGAGGGTTACTACACTTCACTTTAATGTGCTTACTAAAACTATATACAAACATATACCTTTGATTAAAACAGTTTCTCGCTACCACCACTAGGGGATTCTTTTCGGCTTCTGGTTGGCCAAGAGAGCATGTCAAGCCCACTTTCTGCGTCTGGTGCACGCCCTGGTTCTGCCCGTACCTCCCATTGACCAATATCTCTCTATACACGCCTCTGCACTAAGCTACGCCACCGCTTCAGAAGCTCGTTGTAACCATTCGCTTTATAGGAGTTTTGCGTCGTGCGTATACCCATTTCCGGTCGAGGTGGACGACGTAGTGCGTACAGCTTTACGCTTTTAAAAATGTTTCATGAACGTCATGTTTCACCCCGCGTACGCTGTTCCGTGATGGTTTAAACAACCCTGAATTAATTTCAGATATCAAAATTCTTTGCACAGGCCACTGAAGCGGCTGAGGTGAGCAGCGGGAGATTGGAGTTGTTGCAATGTCAGCTTTCACTTTAAGTCGCGCGTTGTAAGAGAAAAGCGGTTCACGCTGATACGACGAGAAACAGAACAGCCCATGGAGCGCCTCCAACCCCGCCGAACTTGCTCCGCGGGATTTCACAGATCTATCCGAAACTTGACCGAGCGCATGCGTAATTTCCTTTTTAACTGGACAATGCACATGCGTGGGGAGGTTGGCGAGGTCACCGGACCGGTCCGGTCGATCGGGCCGTCGAGTTGGATCTGTTCGGATGCATCGGTTGTTTACGCAGGATTGTGACGGCTCGAACACTTCTACCTCGCATGGATCAGGGATACAAAACCGGGACTGGAGCGTAAAAATCGCAAGTGCTGACTTGTGTGGTCGTGAGAGGAAGAACGAGAAAAAGAACGACAGAAAAATCTGGAGGCAGACGCAAGGTTAGGCCTGTTCATTCTGCAGCCAATGATTGTTTACCTTTTTACACTGCATGCCGCCGGCGTTTTCTTGTGCAATAAAGCAAGAACACATTAGGCAGCGATCGTGCATGTGATGGTTTGCTACCTCATTGTTTGTGTTTATTCAAGTCATACCAGCAATCTGAACTCCACTTATGGCAATCGCTGTGCGTGCCCCGCCACGTCGAGGCGGCCGAAAGGTATGTGACGGTGGCGAACGCCGACGTCTACTTCGTTATTCGTGACACGGGCTCTACGGCACGGACATTTTCGCCCGGCCTGTGTCGCGTGTTATATCTGCAGCTAAACAGTGACAGTTTTCAATGGTCGTCGGAAAGATCAGTTGGCTGAGGCGTTGGTGGGCTTGCCAAGCTCGAGCAGAGGCCATTTGAACGGCCGAGGGGGAAGCGGGGGAAAATGCGAGTTTATCTTCCGTTCGTCGATTCTTAGCGGGTCCCATAGAGCGGAATCTCGCCTCCCTCGCCGATTTTGGAAAGCACTCTGGATCTACGAGTGGAATTCACCATTAGACTAATCGGCGACCCGTGCGTCTCTAGTTATTATAGCTGATTGTTCGCGGCGGTCTACGCAAGCTATCACGGCATCTGGGTTGGAAAACAACGCTCCTACCATGAAACTGCGACCGCCGGCACTACAAACAACGCGAATATCGCAAACCCGAGCTGCCGTGCCGGCCAAATGTCCACTTCGTTCGAAGAAAGGAAACAACAAAGCGCGGGAGATGGCACCGTGCAACATACAATACTACACTTGGGAAATTTAATACGTCCGCATGCTTCAAATAGTCTACCACACTAACTTATTAAAGGAGCAATGCTATCACTTACCTGCCATTTCGTTCACGAAGGCCGGGTAATAGCCTTCGTCTTCACCATCTTCGCCACGCCAATACGCCTATACCCTAGACAACTTGTCGAAGTCACCTGGTGTCTTCGGACTAACTCTTTTATCAGGGAAACTGGAAGAATGGCACGTTGGCCTTCTTGCTCGTACCGTACGTACGCGAACATGCTGACGAACTACGAGCGTACGAGGTTCAGAAAGACAAACAACGTAAACAGACCAAGGTAACAAAGCAACAAGCTGTGCGGATTGGATTGGATTGGCTGAACAAATAAAACATTTCTGAATTGGCTTACTTCGGCAATGTGAACGCGATGAGTAAACGAAAAACTCTGTCCATATACACTAAATATTTTTTTCTTTAGTAGTCATTATTTTAACCATATATTTGCTAAGGCAGCTAACATTCGGTTCAACATGCACGAACGCATCATGATCAACAAGCATAATTTATTTATCGACATAGCAGTTGGGCAAACGCTGGGTGTGACTTGTGTCGTCTGCTCCCAAACTCGATGGTCCTCGAAACGAAATTAAGAAACAGTCTGCTCGTTTCATCGCATTCGTGCACTGGATCTACGCTCACTAGCAGTGCTCTCCGCATTTCACGTCATTTTCTTAAAAACTTTGTACTTTGAATCGCTGGACGCGATGTGTAATATCACATTTCGTTAATTTCAACAGCAATATGACAAGTCTTCCATCCTATAAGCGACGGAAGCGGTACCTTGGTGTGGGCGAAGAATTGCTGATTCCCAAGTCAACGTATTACCACCGGCTGAAAGAAGTAGGAAGTTTAGATTCGCGGATTCCGATATCAGAACCAAGTTCACCAGAAATATCTGACGACTCCAACATTGGTGGCGATCTGGAGGGCGAAGACGAGCAAGAGCCGATCGACTCCGATAGCAGCCGAGATGTATGCACGTCGTCCCCGGTGCCGCCAGAATTGGCGATCGACTACGGTAATAGCCAAGATCTTTGCGCGTCATCCCCAGTGCCGGCAGAAAGAAGCGTCAATGAAGAAACGATGAGTGACTCGGCGAGTGATCGCGACTTTATCGAGACGTCTGACGATGAGTGCAGCGCGGCCAGCGACTTCTATGAGGAGCCGTCCGACTTCCAGCCAGGGCCAGTTTTCGAGGACATACTCTCGTCGTGCTTCGAACAGTTCGGAGCGAAAAACTGCCGAACACAGAGACGACCAAGGCAGGAGCGATTGCCATGGTAATGTAATTTATCGCTGGAAATGGCTTAACTTGGACTGCGCGTGGGCAGTGTGTCTGCATGATTAATACCATTTTCGGCAAAGATGTCCTGCCTCAGACGAAGTATGTTTTTCGGAAACTTTGGGCTGGCAAAACTAAGGACCTGGTTAACTACCACTACCTCTGCCCAAGTTGTGAGGGCATGATGAAGATGGAAGGCGCGGCAGGACATTGCGAAGTCTGCCAGCAGAAGGCAACTCAAAAAAGCTACGGGCGCAAGGCTCATTTTTTATGATGCTGGACATGGAAAAGCAAGTCAAGTTCCTTATTGGCAAGACCAAGGATGCCCTCGGGGAGAACCTGCTTCGACCTGCTGCAAGCCCCGATGACCCCATCACAGACATCACCACGGGCAAGGGATACCGAAAGATACGTAAAGAGGCGAAGTTGGCAGTCGATGACTTGATGCTGACCATCAACACGGATGGTAGTCCCGTCTTTGAGTCCTCAAAGACCTCTGTCTGGCCTATCCAGTTCGACATCAACGAGCTGCCACCTCATGTGCGCTTCAAGCATCCAACCCTGGCCGGCCTCTGGTTCGGGAAAACTCATCCAAATATGCAGACTTTCATCGGCACATTTGTGGAAGCAGTGAACTCTATGCAGCTCCTCAAGTGAAAGCATGGGTCCCACCTGCACCAGTCCAAGGCCTTCGTCCTCTGCTGCTCCGTGGATGCCCCGGTACGAGCAGCAGTTCAGAACATGGTGCTGTTCAACGGTTACCATGGCTGTCCATGGTGTCTGTTCACGGGCGAATACCGTGAAGGTAGGGAATAATTATAGTCATAGGGCGAGCAAGTCGTCTTCTTCTCATGGAGAGGGTAGAAGAGGTGTCAAAAGTGACGTCACGACGCCGCATTCTGATTGGACGATGCTGACGTGGGGAAACATAGCTTTGTCGTCTGCTAGTCATAGCAGTGGCTGCCGTGCCTGCCTTGCCTGTCAGAGATCCACCGATTCTGTATGGACTAGGGCTCTATCTTCGTCAAACGGTAGGGGAAATAGCTCGAAGGGCATTCTGAATTAATTTATTTATGCTCTGTGCGCTAACGCGTATTGGAACGGTAAAGCCAAAATCTGTTTGTTGTATTTCAAAGTTTGACACAACTGAACTGTAAAATAATGGGAGGGGAGAATGACGTAACTATTGACACATCCCCTACCCTCTCCGTGAGAAGCACACAATTTGCTTGCTGTATTGAGTGAACAGACCAGTATAGCGATGATTTGGGTGGCCTGCAGTAATGAGACGGATTTGTATGCAACGCTTTGGATTAATTAATGTTGTCTTTCACAGGGAGCATGCGGTACATCGCTGATGAGCTTCCAGCTCTCAGGTCATCAGCTATGGTTTCCCGCGACATGCAGCTGGCACTGGCATTCAAGGATAGTGTCAATCGCATCAAAGGCCCTTCGGTAATGATGAACCTCCCAGGTGCGTCTCTTTTTGCTGTTTATCTACCCCGAGTGTCTTTTTAAGCACAAAATATGTTTGTGGGCAGGTTTCAGCACTTATACACTGACGCTTTGATCTCACTTTGAACGGTCTTTCTCCGTGTATTTGCAAGAATTTAGTACAGAGGTGCGGCTAGGTGGGTCAAGCATGGAGTTAAAATATCGACTGATGAACTTTCCTCGTTCACGAAAGAAAAATGAAGAACCTGTCTTGGGCAATCTACAGCGCCGTTTTCCAGTTGACGCAGACTGTGCTTGTTCACTTGAAGACGCTGCCAACAGATGGCGTAACTGCATCGAAAGCATGCGGGGTGATATAATTCGGGTCTTGATAGCAGATGACTTGGCGAAAGTTTCTCAGTTGTGCCATTGTTGGTGGCGTCTCTAAGTGAACGAGCACCGTCTGCGTTGCCCGCAAAATGGCAGCGTAAATTGCCCAAAACACGTTCTTTTTTTGGTATTTCTTGAACGAGAGAAGTTCGTCCATTAATGTTTTAACTCTATGCTTGCACCACCTAGCCGCACCTCTGTAGTAAATTCCAGCAGAGTATGTTGAGAAACCGATTTTTTCTGACCGTTCGATTTGATATTGAAGAATTGGTGTACATGCTGTAGTGACATCTTCCTGAATCCTGGGAAACGAAAGTCTGCAGCGGAAGTGTGTCGTTCGAGACAGAAGTCGATCAGGCAAAATGTTAATGCCTTAAAAGCTCTGGAGAAGACGTAAATTGAACTGGGGTCTTTCGTGTTGTGAAGCTGTTGCTTAATTAGTTGCGCTAGTAGAGGGCACAAGGAAAGCGAGCTCGATATGTCATCTCTCAGCTGCTGACAGTTCCGAATGCACTGATCTAAAGTAAATTTTTGTAACTTTGAGTTTAAGAGCCTACCGGCGTCCAGTGCTGCTGTGTCTGTGTTGTCGCTTGATAGGGCCCACTGCGCTAGCTAGGATCCACTCGAACAAGATTACAAACATTGCCACACTCACTCAAATGGTACGAGAGTTTGCACGAGCAACGCCACCTACACTCATATCACCTCAAGAAAGGAGTATGTTTTGTGCATAATTCCTGTGTTGCGCAAAGTAATTCTTACAAGAGTTTGTTACCAAAGAAAGAAACAAGGCTCTTTTGCATTTGCAATGTGCACAATTTGACAAAAGGACAAATACCTCGTTCTGCATGCACCCTTAGTATTTTAACCTCCCCATATAAAAGAAGTTAATATCGCTCCGCAAGATGCCTTACTTTTTCGTTATAGTTCTTGAGCGGGAAATGAGTATAGACGAACTTCAAGCCTTACCGCTGAATTTTCAGTGTCATCTAAAATATGTTGGCGCAGGGCCCACATTGAACATGAGTGTCACACCAGTATTTGGCTTAAAATCATCATGCCGCGTGTGCGTTGCGGTCGACAGGTGGTATAGCACCTGACTATCACGCAGAAGTCCCAGGTTCGAATCCCGGGACTGGATAACACTTTTTGTTAATTAGTAAATCCCGTGGTTTTCGAAAATTGGAGAATGTTGTCGTTTGTTCTAGATCAGAATGTTCTAGTGCCAAATGAAGTGGCTATAAAAGTATCTCCGCATGGCCGTAGGAATTCATTCCAGCGCCAGCTTTGATCCTGCTGTTATGCCGAGATTCGACGCCTGCGACGCCCTGCTATTCCCTTTTAATTTTGGCAAACGTTCGCCCCCATTAAACATTCATTTTCTTCACTCATGTTTTGCCTCGCCACTAGTTATTCGTGACAATGTTCTTACTGATTAGTCTGGCCCGGATACATAAGCTCTAGAAACGTTCAAAATAGGCAAGTATTTAGGCTCCAAAAGCCCGATATAGTGAGTGAAAAAGGCACATTAAGCTTGACATCGATTCTGTTAACTGCGCCGCGAGAAAACATTACATAATACCACGAAGCGTAACGCTTTTTCTGATTTAAAACTGAACGAGCGATTTAAGTTGCTACAGAAACAGAATGCCATGGCAATAATGAGAAAAGGCCAGCCCTCCCCTGCCTTACACCAAAGCTCGGAACTACTGAGTTTCGTGAGAGTGGGCTGCAATGAATGACATCTTCAGGATTTCAAACAAAGCTTCTTCTATTCTTCCCAAACATTACTTTGTACTTTCACTAAGTTCTTTCAAAGTTACTCTATGTTAGACTTGTCCATGTGAAGCACAAATCTTCATCTGGACTAAGCTCTTCTTCTTGAAGGAATTCATCTTTTTTCAGTTAGTGCATTTCATTCTTATCTTTAGCAGAGTTGAAAGTTCCTCAATTCTTTTTGTCCCTACATTTTACTAGTGGTACTGCCCTGCCTGTCACTTTGAAGTCCTCCTTGTGCATTTTCGTACGGAGATTGCTGAAGCGGTCTCCGCTCGTGGGTGCAAGCAGAATGAAATATTTTAAAAATAGCGGTATGCTAGAGAAGCGAACAAAGA